TTATTTGAGCTGTTCTTGGCATAATATGTTGGCATAATATGGACTTGGTCTTTTACCAAATAGGGATATCTTCTGTATACCACCCCTACCTTGTCACAACACAACTGATTGGCTCAAACGCATTAAGAAGGAAAGAAACTCCACAAATTAACTTTTAACAAGGCACACCTGTTAATTGAAATGCATTCCAGGTGACTACCTCATGAAGCTGGTTGAGAGAATGCCAAGAGTGTGCAAAGCTGTCAAAAAGGCAAACGGTGGCTACTTTGAAGAATCTCAAATATAAAATATATTTTCATTTGTTTAACACTTTTTTGGTTACTACATGATTCCATATGTGTTATTTCATAGTTTTGATGTTTTCACTATTATTCTACAATGTAGAAAATAGTACAAATAAAGAAAAACCCTTGAATGAGTAGGTGTGTCCAAACTTTTGACTGGTACTGTATGTTAACGTTGCCAAAGCAAGTGAAATAGATAATAAACAAAGTGAAATAAACAATAAATTTTAACAGTAAACATTACACTCACAAAAGTTCCAAAAGAATAAAGACATTTCAAATGTCATATTATGTCTATATACAGTGTTATAATGATGTGAAAATAGTTAAAGTACAAAAGGGAAAATAAATAAACATAAATATGGGCTGTATTTACAATGGTGTTTGTTCTTCACTGGTTGCCCTTTTCTTGTGGCAACAGGTCACAAATCTTGCAGCTGTGATGGCACACTGTGGTATTTCTCCCAATAGATATGGGAGTTTATCAAAATTGGATTGGTTTTTTTCGAACTCTTTGTGGGTCTGTGTAATCTGAGGGAAATATGTGTCTCTAATATGGTCATACATTTGGCAGGAGGTTAGGAAGTGCAGCTCAGTTTCCACCTCATTTTGTGGGCAGTGTTTTTTATTTTTTTATTTCACCTTTATTTAACCAGGTAAGCCAGTTGAGAACAGGTTCTCATTTACAACTGCGACCTGGCCAAGACAAAGCAAAGTAGTGCAACAAAAACAACACAGAGTTACATATGGGGTAAAAAAAAAAACAAAGTCAGAAATACAACAGAAAATATATATACAGTGTGTGCAAATGTAGCAAGTTATGGAGGTAAGGCAATAAATAGGCTATAGTGCAGAATAATTACAATAGTATTAACACTGGAATGCTAGATGTGCAAGAGATTATGTGCAAATAGAGATACTGGGGTGCAAAAGAGCAAATTAAATAGCAATATAGGGATGAGGTAGTTGGGTGGGCTAATTTCAGATGGGCTGTGTACAGGTGCAGTGATCGGTAAGGTGCTCTGACAACTGATGCTTAAAGTTATTGAGGGAGATAAGAGTCTCCAGCTTCAGAGATTTTTGCAATTCGTTCCAGTCATTGGCAGCAGAGAACTGGAAGGAATGGCGGCCAAAGGAGGTGTTGGCTTTGGGAATGACCAGTGAGATATACCTGCTGGAGCGCAGACTACGGGTGGGTGCTGCTATGGTGACCAATGAGCTAAGATAAGGCGGGGATTTGCCTAGCAGTGATTTATAGATGGCCTGGAGCCAGTGGGTTTGACGACGAACATGTAGTGAGGACCAGCCAACAAGAGCGTACAGGTCACAGTGGTGGGTAGTGTATGGGGCTTTGGAGACAAAACGGATGGCACTGTGATAGACTACATCCAATTTGCTGAGTAGAGTGTTGGAGGCTATTTTATAAATTACATCGCCGAAGTCAAGGATCGGTAGGATAGTCAGTTTTACGAGGGCATGTTTAGCAGCATGAGTGAAGGAGGCTTTGTTGCGAAATAGGAAGCCGATTCTAGATTTAACTTTGGATCGGAGATTCTTAATGTGAGTCTGGAAGGAGAGTTTACAGTCTAACCAGACACCTTGGTATTTGTAGTTGTCCACATACTCTAGGTCAGACCCGTCGAGAGTAGTGATTCTAGTCGGGTGGGCGGGTGCTAGCAGCGTTCGATTGAAAAGCATGCATTTAGTTTTACTAGTGTTTAAGAGCAGTTGAAGGCTACTGAAGGATTGTTGTATGGCATTGAAGCTCGTTTGGAGGTTTGTTAACACAGTGTCCAATGAAGGGCCAGATGTATACAAAATGGTGTCGTGTGCACATAGCCTGTCTTCTCTTGAGAGCCAGGTCTGCCTACGGCGGCCTTTCTCAATAGCAAGGCTATGGTCACTGAGTCTGTACATAGTCAAAGCTTTCCTTAAGTTTGGGTCAGTCACAGTGGTCAGGTATTCTGCCACTGTGTACTCTCTGTTTAGGGCCAAATAGCATTCTAGTTTGCTCAGTTTTTTTGTTTGTTCTTTCCAATGTGTCAAGTAATTCTCTTTTTGTTTTCTCATGATTTGGTTGGGTCTAATTGTCTTGCTGTCCTGGGGCTCTGTGGGGTCTGTTTGTGTTTGTGAACAGAGCCCCAGGACCAGCTTGCTTAGGGGGCTCTCCTCCAGGTTCATCTCTCTGTTATAGAAGTCGCGGTAGTTATTGGGGTCAAATTATTGGGGTCAAATTTGTCTCCACTTTTGTGGATTGGGGTGATCAGTCCTTGGTTCCAAATATTGGGGAAGATGCCAGAGCTAAGGATGATGTTAAAGAGTTTAAGTATAGCCAATTGGAATTTGTGGTCTGTATATTTTATAATTTCATTTAGGACATCATCAACACCACAGGCCTTTTTGGGTTGGAGGGTTTGTATTTTGTCCTGTAGTTCATTCAATGTAACTGGAGAATCTGGTAGTCTTTAATAGTTGATCACTCTCTCCCTCTGTGCTCTCTCTCTCCCTCTCTCTGTGCTGTCTCTCCCTCTGTGCTCTCTCTCCCTCTCTCTCTCCCCCTCTCTCTGTGCTCTCTCTCCCTCCACGCTCTCGCTCTCTCTCTCCACGCTCTCTCTCTCTCTCTCTCTCTGTGCTCTCTCTCCCTCCACGCTCTCTCTCTCCGTGTGTGATATATACACTGAACAACAATTTCAAAGATTTTACTCAGTTCATAAGGAAATAAATCAATTGAAATACAGATATATATCTGTTGGTCACAATGGGCCTCAGGATCTCGTCACGGTATCTCTGTGCATTCAAATTGCCATCGATAAAAAGGCAATCGCGTTCGTTGTTGTTAGCTTATGCCTGCCCATTCAATAACGCCACCATGGGACACTCTGTTCACAATGTTGACATTAGCAAACCGCTTGCCCACGTGACGCGGTTGTGAGGCCGTTTGGACATACTGAAAAATTCTCTAAAACAATGTTGGAGGCGGCTTATGGTAGAGAAATTAACATTCAATTATATGGCTACAGCTCTGGCGGACATTCCTGCACTCCCTCAAAACTTGAGACATCTGTGGCATTGTGTTGTGTGACAAAACTGCACATTTTAGAGCGGCCTTTTATTGTCCCCAGCACAAGGTGCACCTGTGTAATGTTCATGCTGTTTAATCAGCTTCTTGATATGCCACACCTGTCAGGTGGATGGATTATCTTGGCAAAGGAGAAATGCTCACTAACAGGGATGTAAACATATTTGTGCACAACATTTTAGAGAAATAAGCTTTTTGTGCGTATGGAACATTTCTGGCATCTTTTATTTCAGCTCATGAAACATGGGACCAGCACTTTACATTTTCCGTTTATATTTTAGTTTTTTGTATTTATACAGTGCCTTCTGAAAGTATTCAGACCCCTTGACTTTTTACACATTTTGTTACGTTACAGCCTTATTCTAAAATGGATTAAATTGTCCCCCCCCATATCAATCTACACACAATACCCTATAATGACAAAGCAAAAACAGGTTTTTAGCAAATGTATTAAAAATGAAAAAATGAAATATTACATTTACATAAGTATTCAGATCCTTTACTCAGTACTTTGTTGAAGCACCTTTGGCAGTGATTACAGACTCAAGTCTTCTTGGGTATGACACTACAAGCTTGGCACACCTGTATTTGGGGAGTTTCTCCCATTCTTCTCTGCAGATCCTCTCAAGCTCTGTCAGGTTGGATGGGCAGCGTTGCTACACAGCTATTTTCAGGTCTCTCCGGAGATGTTCGATCGGGTTCAAGTCCGGGCTCTGGCTGGACCACTCAAGGACATTCAGAGACTTGTCCCGAAGCCACTCCTGCATTGTCTTAGCTGTATGCTTAAGAGTTGTTGTCCTGGTGGAAGGTGAACCTTCACCCCAGTCGGAGGTCCTGAGCGCTCTGGAACAGGTTATCATCAAGGATCTCTCTGTTCTTTGCTCCGTTCATCTTTCCCTCGGTCCTGACTAGTCTCCCAGTTCCTGCTGCTTAAAAACATCCCCACAGCATGATGCTGCCACCACCGTGCTTCACCGTAAGGATGGTGCCAGGTTTCCTCCAGACGTGACGCTTGGCATTCAGGCCAAAGAAATCTTGGTTTCATCAGACCAGAGAATCTTGTTTCTCATGGTCAGAGAGTCTTTAGGTGCCTTTTGGCAAACTCCAAGCGGGCTGTCATGTGCCTTTTACTGAGGAGTGGCTTCCGTCTGGCCACTCTACCATAAAGGCCTGATTGGTGGAGTGCTGCAGAGATGGTTGTCCTTCTGGAAGGTTCTCCCATCTCCACAGAGGAACTCTGGAGCTCTGTCTGAGTGACCATCGGGTTTGAATACTGAATACTTATGTAAATAAGATGTCTGTTTTAAATGTTTTATAAATTAGCAAACATTTCTAAAAACCTGGTTTCGCTGTGTCATTATGGGGTATTGTGTATAGATCGATGATCATTTATTTGTATTTAATCCATTTTAGAATAAGGCTGCAACTTAACAAAATGTGGGAAAAGTGAAGGGTTCGGAATACTTTCCGAATGCACTGTGTATGTCCCGCTCTCTCTCCGATCTCTCCGTCTCTCATTATTCCTTAAAGAGGAGAGCAGCCACACTACAGGCTGCAGAAACGCCACACTACAGGCTGCAGAAACGCCACACTACAGGCTGCAGAAACGCCACACTACAGGCTACAGAAACGCCACACTACAGGCTGCAGAAACGCCACACTACAGGCTGCAGAAACGCCACACTACAGAAACGCCACACTACAGGCTACAGAAACGCCACGCTACAGGCTACAGAAACGCCACACTACAGGCTGCAGAAACGCCACACTACAGGCTGCAGAAACGCCACACTACAGAAACGCCACACTACAGGCTACAGAAACGCCACGCTACAGGCTACAGAAACGCCACACTACAGGCTACAGCAACGCCACGCTACAGGCTACAGAAACGCCACGCTACAGGCTACAGAAACGCCACACTACAGGCTGCAGAAACGCCACACTACAGGCTGCAGAAACGCCACACTACAGGCTGCAGAAACGCCACACTACAGGCTGCAGAAACGCCACACTACAGGCTACAGAAACGCCACGCTACAGGCTACAGAAACGCCAAGCTACAGGCTACAGAAACGCCACGCTACAGGCTGCAGAAGCTACAGGCTACAGAAACGCCACGCTACAGGCTACAGAAACGCCACGCTACAGGCTACAGAAACGCTACAGGCTACAGAAACGCCACACTACAGGCTACAGAAACGCCACGCTACAGGCTACAGAAACGCCACGCTACAGGCTACAGAAACGCCACGCTACAGGCTACAGAAACGCCACGCTACAGGCTACAGAAACGCCACGCTACAGGCTACAGAAACGCCACGCTACAGGCTACAGAAACGCCACGCTACAGGCTACAGAAACGCCACGCTACAGGCTACAGAAACGCCACACTACAGAAACGCCACGCTACAGGCTACAGAAACGCCACGCTACAGGCTACAGAAACGCCACACTACAGGCTACAGAAACGCCACACTACAGGCTACAGAAACGCCACACTACAGGCTACAGAAACGCCACGCTAGAGGTTACAGAAACGCCACGCTACAGGCTACAGAAACTACAGGCTACAGAAACGCCACACTACAGGCTACAGAAACGCCACGCTACAGGCTACAGAAACGCCACGCTACAGGCTACAGAAACGCCACACTACAGGCTACAGAAACGCCACGCTACAGAAACGCCACACTACAGGCCACAGAAACGCCACACTACAGGCTACAGAAACGCCACACTACAGGCTACAGAAACGCCACACTACAGGCTACAGAACAGAAACGCCACAGGCTACAGAAACGCCACACTACAGGCTACAGAAACGCCACGCTACAGGCTACAGAAACGCCACGCTACAGGCTACAGAAACGCCACGCTACAGGCTACAGAAACGCCACACTACAGGCTACAGAAACGCCACACTAAAGGCTACAGAACAGAAACGCCACGCTACAGGCTACAGAAACGCCACGCTACAGGCTACAGAAACGCCACGCTACAGGCTACAGAAACGCCACGCTACAGGCTACAGAAACGCCACACTACAGAAACGCCACACTACAGGCTACAGAAACGCCACACTACAGGCTACAGAAACGCCACGCTACAGGCTACAGAAACGCCACGCTACAGGCTACAGAAACGCCACGCTACAGGCTACAGAAACGCCACGCTACAGGCTACAGAAACGCCACACTACAGAAACGCCACACTACAGGCTACAGAAACGCCACACTACAGGCTACAGAAACGCCACGCTACAGGCTACAGAAACGCCACGCTACAGGCTACAGAAACGCCACGCTACAGGCTACAGAAACGCCACGCTACAGGCTACAGAAACGCCACGCTACAGGCTACAGAAACGCCACGCTACAGGCTACAGAAACGCCACGCTACAGGCTACAGAAACGCCACGCTACAGGCTACAGAAACGCCACGCTACGGGCTACAGAAACGCCACACTACGGGCTACAGAAACGCCACACTACAGGCTACAGCAACGCCACGCTACGCTACAGGCTACAGAAACGCCACGCTACGCTACAGGCTACAGAAACGCCACGCTACAGGCTACAGAAACGCCACACTACAGGCTACAGAAACGCCACGCTACAGGCTACAGAAACGCCACGCTACAGGCTACAGAAACGCCACACTACAGAAACGCCACGCTACAGGCTACAGAAACGCCACACTACAGGCTACAGAAACGCCACGCTACAGGCTACAGAAACGCCACGCTACAGGCTACAGAAATGCCACGCTACAGGCTACAGAAACGCCACGCTACAGGCTACAGAAACGCCACGCTACAGGCTACAGAAACGCCACACTACAGGCTACAGAAACGCCACACTACAGGCTACAGCAACGCCACACTAAAGGCTACAGCAACGCCACGCTACAGGCTACAGAAACGCCACACTACAGGCTACAGAAACGCCACACTACAGGCTACAGAAACGCCACACTACAGAAACGCCACACTACAGGCTACAGAAACGCCACGCTACAGGCTACAGAAACGCCACGCTACAGGCTACAGAAACGCCACGCTACAGGCTACAGAAACGCCACAGGCTACAGAAACGCCACGCTACAGGCTACAGAAACGCCACGCTACAGGCTACAGAAACGCCACGCTACAGGCTACAGAAACGCCACGCTACAGGCTACAGAAACGCCACGCTACAGGCTACAGAAACGCCACGCTACAGGCTACAGAAACGCCACGCTACAGGCTACAGAAACGCCACACTACAGAAACGCCACACTACAGGCTACAGAAACGCCACACTACAGGCTACAGAAACGCCACACTACAGGCTACAGAAACGCCACGCTACAGGCTACAGAAACGCCACGCTACAGGCTACAGAAACGCCACGCTACAGGCTACAGAAACGCCACACTACAGAAACGCCACACTACAGGCTACAGAAACGCCACGCTACAGGCTACAGAAACGCCACGCTACAGGCTACAGAAACGCCACGCTACAGGCTACAGAAACTCCACGCTACAGGCTACAGAAACGCCACCTACAGGCTACAGAAACGCCACGCTACAGGCTACAGAAACGCCACGCTACACGGCTACAGAAAACGCCACGCTACAGGCTACAGAAACGCCACACTACAGGCTACAGAAACGCCACACTACAGGCTACAGAAACGCCACACTACAGAAACGCCACACTACAGGCTACAGAAACGCCACGCTACAGGCTACAGAAACGCCACGCTACAGGCTACAGAAACGCCACGCTACAGGCTACAGAAACGCCACGCTACAGGCTACAGAAACGCCACGCTACAGGCTACAGAAACGCCACGCTACAGGCTACAGAAACGCCACGCTACAGGCTACAGAAACGCCACACTACAGGCTACAGAAAACGCCACGCTACAGGCTACAGAAACGCCACACTACAGGCTACAGAAACGCCACACTACAGGCTACAGAAACGCCACACTACAGACACGCCACACTACAGAAACGCCACACTACAGGCTACAGAAACGCCACACTACAGGCTACAGAAACGCCACACTACAGGCTACAGAAACGCCACGCTACAGGCTACAGAAACGCCACGCTACAGGCTACAGAAACGCCACGCTACAGGCTACAGAAACGCCACGCTACAGGCTACAGAAACGCCACGCTACAGGCTACAGAAACGCCACGCTACAGGCTACAGAAACGCCACGCTACAGGCTACAGAAACGCCACGCTACAGGCTACAGAAACGCCACGCTACAGGCTACAGAAACGCCACGCTACAGGCTACAGAAACGCCACGCTACAGGCTACAGAAACGCCACACTACAGGCTACAGAAACGCCACACTACAGACAACGCCACACTACAGAAACGCCACACTACAGGCTACAGAAACGCCACACTACAGGCTACAGAAACGCCACACTACAGGCTACAGAAACGCCACACTACAGGCTACAGAAACGCCACGCTACAGGCTACAGAAACGCCACGCTACAGGCTACAGAAACGCCACACTACAGGCTACAGAAACCTGGGTCAGTCATGATCAGTAGGAACAAACCAAACCAAATCCAGCTTTGTTGTGGTGTGGTTTGGTGCAGCCTACCTGTGTATCCAGCTGTTGTGGTGTGGGTGGTGCAGCCTACCTTGGTGTATTCAGCTGCTGTGGTGTGGTGTGGTGCAGCCTACCTTGTTGTATTCAGCTTGCTTGCTGTGGTGTGGTGTGGTGCAACCTACCTTGGTTGTATCCAGCTTGCTGTGCTGTGGTGTGGTGCAGCCTACCTTGGTTGTATTCAGCTTGCTGTGGTGTGGTGTGGTGCAGCCTACCTTGGTTGTATTCAGCTTGCTGTGGTGTGGTGTGGTGCAGCCTACCTTGGTTGTATTCAGCTTGCTGTGGTGTGGTGCAGCCTACCTTGGTTGTATTCAGCTTGCTGTGGTGTGGTGTGGTGTGCAGCCTACCTTGGTTGTATTCAGCTTGCTGTGGTGTGGTGTGGTGCAGCCTACCTTGGTTGTATTCAGCTTGCTGTGGTGTGGTGTGGTGCAGCCTACCTTGGTTGTATTCAGCTTGCTGTGGTGTGGTGTGGTGCAGCCTACCTTGGTTGTATTCAGCTTGCTGTGGTGTGGTGTGGTGCAGCCTACCTTGGTTGTATTCAGCTTGCTGTGGTGCAGCTCCAGGACCTGTAGAGCTGCTTTTAGATTGGTCTGTGGCTCCAACAGCTCCATTTTGATTGGCCCAAGGCAGTGGACGTCAGGAGGGGACAGGTACATGCGCAGTAGAGACAGGTACACCTGTATCGTAATACCACTGGGTTAACAGACAGGTACACCTGTATCATAATACCACTGGGTTAACAGACAGGTACACCTGTATCATAATACCACTGGGTTAACAGACAGGTACACCTGGTATCATAATACCACTGGGTTACACCTGTATCATAATACCACTGGGTTAACAGACAGGTACACCTGTATCATAATACCACTGGGTTAACAGACAGGTACACCTGTATCATAATACCACTGGGTTACACCTGTATCATAATACCACTGGGTTAACAGACAGGTACACCTGTATCATAATACCACTGGGTTAACAGACAGGTACACCTGTATCATAATACCACTGGGTTAACAGACAGGTACACCTGTATCATAATACCACTGGGTTAACAGACAGGTACACCTGTATCGTAATACCACTGGGTTAACAGACAGGTACACCTGTATCGTAATACCACTGGGTTAACAGACAGGTACACCTGTATCATAATACCACTGGGTTAACAGACAGGTACACCTGTATCGTAATACCACTGGGTTAACAGACAGGTACACCTGTATCATAATACCACTGGGTTAACAGACAGGTACACCTGTATCGTAATACCACTGGGTTACACCTGTATCGTAATACCACTGGGTTAACAGACAGGTACACCTGTATCGTAATACCACTGGGTTAACAGACAGGTACAACTGTATCGTAATACCACTGGGTTAACAGACAGGTACAACTGTATCGTAATACCACTGGGTTAACAGACAGGTACACCTGTATCATAATACCACTGGGTTAACAGACAGGTACCACTGGGTTAACAGACAGGTACACCTGTATCATAATACCACTGGGTTAACAGACAGGTACACCTGTATCGTAATACCACTGGGTTAACAAGGCCAGTGAGTATGCGTCAGTCTTAAGAGGTTACTCACATCTTTGTTTCTGTCTGTCTCTTCGTCATAATGCCCGTGACAGTACCTGAGGGGAGAGCAACAGATCATCAGCCTCGAGTGAGGTAACAACATGTGACAATTGACAAGGTGTTTTGAATCAGCATGTTATTGTTAATGGCTGGTTGGATGTTTTAGTGGGAGACTTTCCGCAGTCCTGGGAGACTTTCCGCAGTCCTACTCACTCCTCATTAAAGGTTGCAAAATTTCCCAAAATTGACAGGTTTTCCAGAAATCCTGATTGGAAGATTCCCAGAATCAGGAGGCAATAAGCAGGAACTCTGGAATCTTCTCAACAGGATTTCTGAAAAACCTTTCGGGAAAGTTGCCGAAACACAGGGAACACAGGAAATGTGGCGTCTGCTTTGGCGTAGCTGTATCTCAGTTGGTAGAGCTCGCAACGCCAGGGTTGTGGGTTCATTTCCCACGGGGGGCCAGTATGAAAATGTATACTAACTGTAAGTCGCTCTGGATAAGAGTGTCTGCTAAATAACTAAAATGTGAAATGTGTATGAGCTGAAAAAAACATCACTGAGAAGTCCTGTGTCATGGGGGCTTAAGGTTGGAACACGTCGGACTAGTTTTGACCCCATAAACCAAAAAGAAGTGGTCTCTTTTACTTTCAGTCCCTCACCAACAGCCGTGTGGAGTTACATTTACATTTTAGTCATTTTAGCAGACGTTCTTATCCAGAGCATACATTTATTTTTTTCTCCAGTGGGAATCGAACCCACAACCCTGGCGTTGCAAACGCCATGCTCTACCAACTGAGCTACATCCCTGCCGGCCATTCCCTCCCCTACCCTGGACGACGCTGGGCCAAATTGTGCGCCGCCCCCATGGGTCTCCCGGTCACGGCCGGCTACGACAGAGCCTGGATTCGAACCAGGATCTCTAGTGGCACAGCTAGCGCTGCGATGCAGTGCCTTAGACCACTGCACCACTCGGGAGGAGTTGGTAGCAGGTACTTTTTATTTTCTTATTGCTTTGATTTATTTCTCACACTGAGCTGATATATTCATTCAAACCCTCTGGTTCATAACAACTTCAATTATTATACTTTCAGTTGAACCACATGGTGTATGACCAATGTGGTTCAAATCCAGCCAATCCTCTATTCTAATGACAGCACAATGTGATGTTTTATAGACTGAAGTGAGGAGAGACTGAGGCAAAAAGGTAGAAATGTAACATCAGGTTCTGGTGAGCATCACCTCAACTGAGATGATTATGTGACAAATGAATGCTAAGGAGCTGACACATTGTGTGCATAATGCTGGCTGTGATCCGATGAACATTGAGGAAACACCCCAATTTTTTTTTATTCCATTAAGTCTAATAGGTTGTTTTAAAGCAACACTCCGTCATCTCTGTTTTTCCCACTGTGGCCACACGAGGAACTGCAATAGCTGAAAACCACAACAAAACAGTCCCTGGCTCGACGTCTATGTCCTTCTGTTATTCCTCCCATCTTCTCTCCTCAATCGAACTGGAAGAGAACGTCTAAAGGTCCCGTTGACCTTCTCCAATGCGTTTTTAGAAGGATGCGAGGAGAGATGAACTGAGAAATAGTCTCTGTGTATTTAGCTTTAGCCACGGAAGGTGAGGTAAGGTGCCTGGCTGGGCATTACGCCGACTCATCAGTTGACAATCCTAAGAACTGTTTTTAAACCTGTATTTAGAATGAAACGATTAGAAATTGATAAATAAATCTCTCTCCCTCCCTCTCTCTGCCAGATGACTCCCTCCAACTCTCAGAGCTCTGGCATCGTCTCCATCAGTTCTAGTGAACTGTCTTCAGAGTTCCAGAGTCAGAGGGTTGAAGTTACCAAAGCTCATCAGGACTAAAAAGACCCCGAGTGCTGTGAAGGAGTCCGATGTAAATACAGCACATTTTGTTACGTTACAGCCTTATTCTAAAATGGATTAAATTGTTTTTTCCCCCTCATCAATCTACACACAATACCCCATAATGACAAAGCAAAAACAGGTTTTATATCGCATTTACATAAGTATTCAGACCCTTTACTCAGTACTTTGTTGAAGCACCTTTGGTAGTGATTACAGCCTCGAGTCTTCTTGGGTATGACGCTACAAGCTTGGCACACCTGTATTTGGGGAGTTTCTCCCATTCTTCTCTGCAGATCCTCTCAAGCTCTGTGAGGTTGGATGGGGGAGCGTCGCTGCACAGCTCATTTTCAGGTCTCTCCAGAGATGTTAGATCGGGTTCAAGTCCGGGCTCTGGCTGGGCCACTCAAGGACATTCAGAGACTTGTCCCGAAGCCACTCCTGCGTTGTCTTGGCTGTGTACTTAGGGTCGTTGTCCTGTTGGAAGGTGAAACCTTCGCCCAAGTCTGAGGTCCTGAGCGCTCTGGAGCAGGTTTTCAGTTGATTGGTATTTGTCGGGTCCTATTTCCTCACAGGTAGGGAGAGTTGATTGGTATTTGTTGGGTAATTTAGCAGAAGCTCTTATCCAGAGCGACTTACAGGAGCAATTGGGGTTAAGTGCCTTGCTCAAGGGCACAGACAGATTTTTCACCTTGTCGGCTCGCTCAGGGATTCAAACCAGCGACCTTTCAGTTACTGGCCAAACACTCTAACCGCTAGGCTACCTTCCGTCTTCACCAGCGGATTCATCTTCTGCTTGGTTCCTCGTTGTCTTATTTCCTCCTTGCTGTATTCTGGCTCAAAAGTTGTAATCGTCCAACTATGCGGGGGGGGGGGTCATCACTTGCAGCAGCCGTTCTACAGGTTTCTCTGACAGCTGTAACGAGAGAAGCTCTCTGACAGACACAGAACTACAGTCTCATGGCTATTAAACTCGGGGCGTGGGACAAGTGGAGATCAGGAAATCAGTATCACTCCTCCCTAAAGCTTGTTGTAGTTTTAAAAAAAAAACACATGATTACCCCCAAATATGTCATTGAGGGTAAAATCAGGAAAATAACCATACATAGCTTTTGATCTACAGAACGCATTTGGAAGCTGTTTTCACAGTCCTACATGTTCGTAACGTGATCTCGACAACTATTATGAGGTCAAATTGGCAGAACGTTCCTTTAAGGCAGATATTAAAAGATAATCTGCTGAACTTGCAATAACGTTCACTGGTCCCAGGATTATTTGGTGTCACATGATGCAAGAGCAAAGCGTTAAATCCCCTCCCCTTTCCCCCAGCACCCCCCCCACCAAGTTGGGTGTCTGATGAAAAATACTTCCTTTCTACAAGAGTCCCAGTGGACATCAGAGGGGAATAAAGTGAACCATCCGTCAGCTAAACCAACCGTGTGCGAGTCTGTCTGTGTCTAGACGGTACTACTTACTCCTCTGCCATGTGCGTGTCCTTCAGGACGTGGACGTAGATGAAGAGGGCCTGTTCATGTTTCCCCATCCGACCCAGCAGAAGGGCCCGCTCCTCCAGAAGACCTGACACAGACAAACGACACGGCTAGGTTGAAGATACCCAGGTTAGCGGAAGTTATGATTCCGTGCGGAAGCATAGCTGCTACCATTGTTTACAATTCTTCCTCACTTAAGCAAAGGATTATGGGATATTAAAACCCTCATCTTAACCTTTGCCGTCTTCAACCTAGTGGCACGGTGAGCACACGGTCAGGGATGCTAGCATACAGCCGTTGGCAAGACAGCACAAACAGATCTGGGACCAGACTAGACCTGACACAGATGACATACATTTGTGTTATTTGGCTCATATCCAGAGCGACTCACAATCATTACTTTCAACTAGAGAAGTCCAAAGGACCACATGATAACTGAGACCAGTCAGGGAGGAGAGGACAAGGACTGTTGCTTTGTCACCAGTCTCCACCATATAACCGCGAGGCCATTTTATCACCATACTTAGATGCTGATACGTATCGCCATTCTCTCGATTCTATATGTATTGCAATTCGATACTATGATTTTATTGTGATTTGATGTTTCAAACATATTGTTCACTAAACAGTGAGTGGACAAAACATTAGGAACTGCTCTTTCCATGACAGACTGACCAGGTGAATCCAGGTGAAAGCTGTGATCCATTATTGATGTCACTTGTTAAATCCACGTCAATCAGTGTAGATGAAGGGGAGGAGACAGGTTAAAGAAGGATTTTTAAGCCTTGAGACAATTGAGACATGGATTGTGTATGTGTGCCATTCAGAGGGTGAATGGGCAAGGCAAAATATTGAAGTGCCTTTGAACGGGGTATGGTAGTAGGTGCCAGGCGCACCGGTTTGAAGAACTGCAACGCTGCTGGGTTTTTCATGCTCAACAGTTTCCAGTGTGCATCAAGAATGGTCCACCACCCAAAGGACATCCAGCCAACTTGACACAACCGTGGGAAACATTGGAGTCAACATGGGGCCAGCATCCCTGTGGAACGCTTTGGACACCTTGTAGAGTCCATGCCATGAAGAATTGAGGCTGTTCTGAGGGCAAAAGGGGGCGCAACTCAATATTAGGAAGGTGTTCATAATGTTTTGTACACTCAGTGTTTGTCTGCTGCAGAGAGACGAGAGAGCCGTGAGAAATGTTGTTTTGATCAGTCATGGAAATAAGAGTGCTGAAAAATTGTTGGCTCACTTTTTCAAAAGAAGACGGAAAGCAAGCTATAGGATGCTGCAGGTACAGCCTACAAGCGCTAGCTAACGCTACCCAGCAAGTACAAATCGATACTATGAGTCAACGTATCGATATATCGTCCAAAATAATATCTTGATATCTATCGATTATTTCCTCACATCACTAATAACCGTCCCATTCTTACCATCAAAGGGGAAGTCACTGATAAGTCGTCCGGGCTCGTAGCTGGTAGAAACCTCTAGGAAACACAGCAGCTTGTTCCTGAACTCTCCCAAGTCCCCCTCCTCCTTCCCAGCAGCCACTGCGGGAACCCCTACAGGACAGGAAGACAGAACAGACAGATCCCAGATGTGGAGTACCTCAGGGCAGTGAGCTTGGGCTACTATAGATCAATGGATACTACATATTCCTGAGCAACAGAAGTATTTTGTCAGCTTTCTCTGTCCAATAAAACAAGCTGCTTGATAACGGCTGGCTCATCCACAGACCTCCAGTAGAGCGTATAGTCGTCCCCAGGTAGTAGTGATAGTAGTGGTTGGGTAAGCATTTCACTGTAATGTCTGCACCTGTTGTATTCGGCGCATGTGGCCAATACAATTGATTTGATTTGATTTGAGGGCCGTTCCACCAATCTGGAGCCTTTTGAGAAGTCTAACTTAGTCAACAAAAAAAAAACATTGATGTTACCCAATTTTTACATTCTGTCAAAGAATGTTCAACTACATACAAAACACGTTTTCCCCGACAGGTTACCTTTACCTGGAAGTTTTCTACACTTCCTGGTTCTACATATCTAGTCTATTTAGGGTTTTAGATGTTTTAATTTTCTTTCTTTTGCAGTGTTTCAGCTTTATTGCTCTGTCTTTGATAGTACGGGTTCCTTATACCGACACCCCATATCCTGTGTACATGGGTTTTGTTCTGGTAGAAATACATCTATAACACGTTCTGTTCTATCCTGTATTTCTATCTGATATTATGACATCTAGTGGCCCTTTTGGGTACATTAGATTACCGCCTGGTGTCTGCAGTGACCTCTGGCTCTCTGTGTGGCCTTCCCTGTCTCTCTGTGTGGCCTTCCCTGTCCCAGCCTGGTGTCTGCAGTGACCTCTGGCTCTCTGTGTGGCCTTCCCTGTCTCTCTGTGTGGCCTTCCCTGTCTCTCTGTGTGGCCTTCCCTGTCTCTCTGTGTGGCCTTCCCTGTCTCTCTGTGTGGCCTTCCCTGTCTCTCTGTGTGGCCTTCCCTGTCCCACCGTTGTTTGTGGAGATATGCTCTGCTGAAGGTCGACTGACCCAAAACCCAGCTATAATTAAAATACATTTGCATCTGACAAAGTGTGCAGAGACTTTTTCCTGTTTTCCCATCTCCAGAGGTAAACAAATGAAAACTATAGTAAGTGCCAAATAAAGTGACAAGGTTCACCGTAACAGGGTTGACCGCAAAAGGGTTGACCGTAACAGGGTTGACCCTAACAGGGTTGACCGTAACAGGGTTGACCGCAACAGGGTTAATGATTTCTTCTTTTTTTTTTAATCAGCCATTCCCTTTGTGACAGGGGGAAACGGAAGCTTGTGTGCAACAGCGGAGGCACAATTGAATGCAAGATTCACAAAAATTGTTAAAACATTTCTAGCCTGTCTATCTATGGGTAACAGGGTTGACGTGTTATTTTTGTACTTTTATTTTTTTCACCTTTATTTAACCAGGTTATGCTCGACCCGCTCAGTTTTCCACCACAAAACACCAGAAAATTGCCAAAAAAAACTAGAACCATCTCACCTGCTTTTAATCTATGATTTGACTACATATTTTTAAAAAGGAATAGTTTACTTACTTGGGAGTATGGCTAGACGGTACACTGTCCTTCTCTCAGCACATATCCAAGCTGCAGGCTAAGGTTAAATCTAGACTTGGTTTCCTCTATCGTAATCACTCCTCTTTCACCCCAGCTGCCAAACTAACCCTGATTCAGATGACCATCCTACCCATGTTAGATTACGGAGACGTAATTTATAGATCGGCAGGTAAGGGTGCTCTCGAGTGGCTAGATGTTCTTTACCATTCGGCCATCAGATTTGCCACCAATGCTCTTTATAGGACACATCACTGCACTCTTTACCCCTCTGTAAACTGGTCATCTCTGTATACCGGCCGCAAGACCCACTGGTTGATGCTTATTTATAAAACCCTCTTAGGCCTCACTCCCCCCTATCTGAGATACCATCTGCAGCCCTCATCCTCCACATACAACACCCGTTCTGCCAGTCACATTCTGTTAAAGGTCCCCAAAGCACACACATCCCTGGGTCGCTCCTCTTTTCAGTTCGCTGCAGCTAGCGACTGGAACGAGCTGCAAAAAAATATTCAAACTGGACAGTTTTATCTCCATCTCTTCATTCAAAGACTCAATCATGGACACTCTTACTGCCAGTTGTGGCTGCTTCCGCCTGATGTATTGTTGTCTCTACCTTCTTGCCCTTTGTGCTGTTGTCTGGTAATGTATGTACCATGTTGTTGTAGCAGTTGTAGTAGTAGTAGTGTAGTAGTAAGTAGTAGTAGTAGTAGTAGTAGTAGTGGTAGTGGTAGTGTAGTAGTAGTGTGGTAGTATGTGGTAGATGTGGTAGTAGTAGTAGTGTGGTAGTAGTAGTATGTGGTGGTGTAGTGGTAGCAGTAGTAGTATACAGTAGTAGGTATGTGTAGTAGGTAGTTGTGTGAAGTGGGTAGTATGTTAGTAGTAGTAGTAGTAGTAGTTAGTATGTAGTTATGGTGTGTAGTAGTAGTCAGTAGTGGTGTGAGTGGTGTAGTAGTATCGTAGTGGTAGTAGTATGTCGTAGTAGTTAGTAGTGTGTGTAGTAGTAGTAGTGTGGTCGTAGTGTTCGTTTAGTAGTAGTGTGTATTGTGGGTCGTCGTCGTAGTGGTGGTCGTAGTTTGGGTGTGGCGTCGTCGTGTAGTCGTAGTCGTCGTGTAGTCGTCGTGTCGTATGTAGTGTGTCGTGTGGTGTAGTAGTAGTGGTGGTCGTAGTAGTAGTCGTAGTGCGTGGTGTGTAGCGTCGGTGTATCGTGGTGGTAGTCTCTGGGTGTAGTGTCGTAGTCGTAGGTAGTCGTCGTATGTGTGGGCGTCGTCGTCGTCGTGGTGGGTCGTCGTAGTAGTCGTGGTGGTGTGTCGTCGTCTGTGGTAGTGGTCGTCGTCAGTAGTGGTGGTAGTTAGTGTAGTCGTATCGTCGTTCGTAGTTGTAGTAGTAGTCGTAGTCGTAGTCGTTTCGTCGGTAGTCGTGTGTAGTGTCGTGTCGTAGTCTTCGTCGTCGTAGTTTGTCGTCGTCGTCGTGATGTCGTAGTCGTCGTAGAGTCGTAGTAGTAGTGTAGTGTAGTAGTGTTAGTAGTAGTAGATCTTACCCTCGGGCAGGGAGTTGAGGTACTGCTTCATGAGCCCCTGGACCCTCTCTAGGTACAGCTGTATGAGGACGTTATGGAACTCTGGTCCTGTCTCCTCCCAGACATGTATGATGTGCTCCAGGTAGGGCACAGCCAGCTCCTTAAAACCCTCCTTCAGGAAGTTCAGAATCTTGTCTCTGGGCAGGGTCTCTACCTCCGTCAGGTCTTCAGTAAAAATCTGCGATAGACACAAACAATATGTATACGTATATTGATACTGAATTTAAAACTTCCCACATCGTGAAGAATGAATGTATTTTAGTATGTACAGTAGATGTCCAAAAGTATGTGGACACCCCTTCAAATTAGTGGATTCGGCCATTTCAGCTACACCCGTTGCAGACAGGTGTATAAAATCGAGCACACAGCCATGCAATCTCCATAGACAAACATTGGCAGTAGAATGGCCTTACTGAAGAGCTCAGTGACTTTCAACGTGGCACCGTCATAGGATGCCACCTTTCCAACAAGTCAATTCGTCTAATTTTTGCCCTGCTAGAGCTGCCCTGGTCAACTGTAAGTGCTGTTATTGTGAAGTGGAAACATCTAGGAGCAACAACGGCTCAGCCGTGAAGTGGTAGGCCACACAAGCTCACAGAACGGGACCGCCAAGTGCTGAAGCGCGTAGCGCGTACAAATCGTCTGTCCTCGGTTGCAACACTCACTACCGAGTTCCAAAGCAACATCAGCATAAGAACTGTTCGTCGGGAGCTTCATGAAATGGGTTTCCGTGGCCAAGCAGCCGCACACAAGCCTAAGATTACCATGCGCAATGCCAAGTGTCGGCTGGAGTGGTGTAAAGCTCGCCGCCATTGGACTCTCGAGCAGTGGAAACAAGTTCTCTGGGGGTGATGAATCACGCTTCACCATCTGGCAGTCCAATGGACGAATCTGGGTTTGGCGGATGCCAGGAGAACGCTACCTGCCCCAATACATAGTGCCAACTGTAAAGTTTGGTGGAGGAGGAATAATGGTCTGGGGCTGTTTTTCATGGTTCGGGCTAGGCCCCTTAGTTCCAGTGAAGGGAAATCTTAACGCTACAGCATACAATGACATTCTAGACGATTCTGTGCTTCCAACTTTGTGGCAACAGTTTGGGGGAAGGCCCTTTCCTGTTTCAGCATGACAATGCCCCCGTGCACAAAGCGAATTCCATACAGAAATGGTTTGTCGATATCGGTGTGGAAGAACCTGACTGACCTGCAAAGAGCCCTGGCCTCAACCCCATCGAACACCTTTGGGATGAATTGGAACGCCGACTGTGAGCCGGTCCTAATCGCCCAACATCAGTGCCCGACCTCACTAATGCTCGTGGCTGAATGGAAGCAAGTCCATGCAGCAATGTTCCAACAAACATTACAGTCAACTAGGGTGGGTAAAGACAGTTTAAGACAGATAAACTCCTGACACTCCGGTCTCACCTTCAGTCCGTCCTCAGGACAGATCTTCAGCACCCAGGGAGAGAACTCAAAGATAATGCCGAGATTCTCCATCCCTGACAAGATATAATAGAGATGATTAATCCTACGCTCAGAGAGGACAGGGTTGGGAATGTGAGAATGGGTAGAAAGGTCACAGGACAGTATGTGTGATAGTTATGGTGATATGGTGCTATAACAACTGTGGTGTTCTCTGTTCGTGCCGTCATTCACATTTAAATGTTGCTGTCTGGAAATGGAAAGCCTATCGTATGTCTCAATCCCAGTGTTTATTTGGATGTTTAATAAAATGTTAAGTTGGTGTTGGGAGGTTAACTCACCCAGTCTCTGGAGGTACTGCACCGTCCTCTCATGCCCCTTTAGGGGAGAGTTAGCTTTGGTGGACTGGTCCAACAACACCTGCAGGGCTAGGGGAGGAAGAGGGGAGGAAGAGGGGAGAGTTAGCCTTGGTGGACTGATCCAACAACACCTGCAGGACTAGGGGAGGAAGAGGGGAGGAAGAGGGGAGGAAGAGGGGAGAGTTAGCCTTGGTGGACTGGTCCAACAACACCTGCAGGGCTAGAGGAGGAAGAGGGGAGAGTTAGCCTTGGTGGACTGATCCAACAACACCTGCAGGACTAGGGGAGGAAGAGGGGAGGAAGAGGGGAGGAAGAGGGGAGAGTTAGCCTTGGTGGACTGATCCAACAACACCTGCAGGACTAGGGGAGGAAGAGGGGAGGAAGAGGGGAGGAAGAGGGGAGAGTTAGCCTTGGTGGACTGGTCCAACAACACCTGCAGGGCTAGGGGAGGAAGAGGGGAGCACACAGGGTCAGGAAGAGGTCAAGGAGAGGTGTGGAGAGATGAAGTAGAAGGTGAAGGAGAGGTGAAGGAGAAGGTGAAGGAGAGGTGTGGAGAGGTGAAGTAGAAGTGAAGGAGAGGTGTGGAGAGGAAGGAGAGGTGTGGAGAGGTGTGGAGAGGTGAAGGAGAGGTGTGGAGAGGAAGGAGAAGTGTGGAGAGATGGAGAGGTGAAGGAGAGGTGAGGGAGAAGTGTGGAGAGGTGAGGGAGAAGTGTGGAGAGGTGAGGGAGAAGTGAAGGAGAGTTGAAGGAGAGGTGTGGAGAGGTGAAGGAGAGGTGTGGAGAGGTGAAGGAGAGGTGTGGAGAGGTGTGGAGAGGAAGGAGAGGTGTGGAGAGGTGAAGGAGGGTGTGGATAGGTGAAGGAGAGGTGTGGACGAGGAAGGAGTGTGGGTGGGAGGTGGGAGGTGAGTAGAGGTGAGGGAGAAGTGTGGAGGGGGAGGGAGAGTGTGGAGAGGTGAGGGAGAAGTGGAAGGAGAGTTGAAGGAGGTGTGGGAGGTGAGGAGAGGTGTGGAGAGGTGGTGTGGAGAGGTGGAGGAGAGGTGTGGATGGGTGAAGGAGAGCGTGAGGAGGGTTGTGGCTGGGTGCCGGCGGTGCTCGGAGGATGTCGGGTGTGAAGGGGAGCCGTTGCCGGCGAGGTGTGTGCTGGGTGCCGGCCGGTCGGGCGCGTATGGCGGATGCCGGCGAGGTGCCGGCGCGCTTCTGCGGCTGCCCGGGCGGTCCTGGCCGCTGCCGTCGCGCGTGCCGGCGGTTGTGTGGGGTGCCGGCGCGGTCCGGCGGAGGCGGCTGGGCGGGTGCCGGCGGGGTGTGGAGGGGTGAAGGAGAGATGAAGGAGAGGTATGGAGAGATGAGAGGTGAAGGAAAGGTATGGAGAGATGAAGGAGAGGAAACTTACAAAAATCTCAAAATTGAAATGTTTGCGGGGATGAAAATTGCTCATCAATTGGATTCCACAATTTATTTGATTAACGACGTCTCTGAGCAACAAGGGTCCGAGGCTTCACTACTCCTTCAATGAATCATCAAATCGGCTTCCACAACTTCTTTGATTAAGAAGGCCTTGAGACTTCACTACTTAGGATTTCTCTAATTAACGAGAGCAGGATACTTCAGTTCTAAGACATATTTAATTACCACGATACACACAGGGAAGATAATGACCAGAGTGTTATAAACCCGTAGCTTTAGGACGAGGTCCTCAAGCCCGCTACTTGATTGGTTAATATAGAATGCTGTGTAGGCCTCACGCAAAACATAAATGACATTTGTAGATAGACAGGAGAAGATGAATCATCTCAGGGCAGCAGGTAGCCAAGCGGTTAGAGCATTGGGCCAGTAACTGAAAGGTTGCTGGTTCGAATCTCTGAGCTGACAAGCACTCTGTCGATGTGCCCTTGAGCAAGGCACTTAACCCTAATTGCTCCTGTAAGTGGCTCTGGATAAGAGCTTCTGCTAAATGACTAAAATGTAAAGCAAAATGTATGATATAAACAAATCAATCTTGCAACAAGTCTGTACGCTCTGGTAAATATATGTTGAGAGATACATTCTCTGAGAACCACCAGTGTAAGCGAATTGTGTATCAGTCATCACGTTTATATTTCTTTCAGACAAGTTGCTTTTGTTACCAAGTGTTAATGTTTTCAGTATTATGCTGTCATTAAAGTTTAAACCAGGATGTGTTCCTATGGCCTCATCAGCCTGGTTATAGTTTAAACCAGGATGGTCATCATAGGTCACAGTCAATAGTTACTCATTAAGTCATTATTAATACTATCATTGCATGTTCAGCCTAGGAGAGCCTGTAGTATGAGAAAGATACCGTCCTCTGTACTAGCTTATTAGTAACTAGGATATTATCTAAGACAAATGTAAAATATATAAAACATAGTTATAAATATATAAAAGAAAATCCACTTCTAACAGTCCCTTCCTTCAGCTCCTACTAGGACCTTTCCTACGTCAAATGGGCAATTAGTATGCCTGGCCATGTGGGGTCACTGGGCATAAAGCTTACAGTTGACTGGACCCAGCGTGCTCCCACGGCGTGGCAACCTTCCCCCAGCCTGCCAGGTTGAATACTCCATCTCCATAATAAAAATCAGGTCAGTGACATAAATCCCCTATCGTTTACCAATTAGCTCCCAGCAGATGTGTATCAGTAACCCCCCCACCCCCACTTTAACCACTCTTCTCCCCATTTCATCACACCAGTGTTACTACCACTCCATCTTCTTCCATGGCCTCGAGGTCCAGGATATACAGTTCTCCTCAGAGCTGCATTTTTCTTGCGCTTTAGCCCGGAAGGACCAGGCCAGGAGGGCAGAGGCACAAGCTGCCAGACCAGCTACGTACTCCAGCACACCATATATCCATCCCCATAGCTGGTTCTCTACAACCCCTGGCATTGTTCGTCAAGCTGTCGATGAAAGCTGAAGCAACCAGACGCATTCCCATGGTGAATTATTCTGACCTGATTTGTTCTATAAAAAAAAGGGTCTGTCCCCGGAGTTGCGGCAGTGTCTTGGTGGAGGTCTCAGAGCACCTGTCCCCAGGCAATGCCAAATCCTTTTTCCTCGAGGCATTTCAGGTAAAGTATGAGGTTGACAGCAGGCTCTGCTGCAGTTCCACCAGACTCGTGTGCAGAGGCTTTTCATGGCTGTTTCGTGAGATAATTCTGGTCCCAGTCATGTCCTTGAAATTCTTCCCTGGCAGGTGACATCCTTGGCTTTTCGATACAATTTCAGGTTAGTGGAGGATTACTGTTGTGTGATGGGCGTCTCCAAGATCTGCCATTTTCCTTTCTCTAGTGGGATGGGGTAGGGGAACACTTGCCTCCACTTTGGCCCTAGGCTGAGAGTTTTCTCTTTCTGGATCTCCTTTTTTAGTTGTTAAAGTTCTTGTGTCCCCCCCCCCCCCCCCCCCGTGAGCTTTTCTTTCCAGTCATTTACCAGTTGTTCTACCTGTGTTATCGAGGTGGGCTTGCAGCAGTTCTTAGTGTCCCGCCCCCCTGGGCTTGGCTAAGGTAACATCTGGTTATGGGTACCCCGCGGGCGGCTACCATATTAATCTAGTAAGGGTTTAAGTACATTGATTGATCTACTGTGTTGATGGTACAGCCAAGCCCATTGTTTGATCTACTGCCTGCCAATAGGACACGGGGGGTATGGTCGCGGGGATTCTGGTGGAGTTCGGGAGCCGTGTCTTTGGGAATAAGGCTACGTTGCCCCGGTGTGAATACATCTCCACCTCTGGTCCTATTCGCTGTGGAGGGTTATTTTCCATGCTGGCGGACAGTTTGTTTCCTCAGTATTCCTACCACCGGAGCAAGACGGAAATGCAACAAAATACATTTAAAAAATAGAATTAAAAAAATGTGTCTACTCTCTGCATTCAAGCAGCTGATTATGACCGGCCCAAAGAAATTACAAGAGCGATAGGTGTGTTTATAGCCGCGGATATGGGGAGCGATAGGTGTGTTTATAGCCGCGGATATGGGGAGCGATAGGTGTGTTTATAGCCGCGGATATGGGGAGCGATAGGTGTGTTTATAGCCGCGGATATGGGGAGCGATAGGTGTGTTTATAGCCGCGGATATGGGGAGCGATAGGTGTGTTTATAGCCGCGGATATGGGGAGCGATAGGTGTGTTTATAGCCGCGGATATGGGGAGCGATAGGTGTGTTTATAGCCGCGGATATGGGGAGCGATAGGTGTGTTTATAGCCGTGGATATGCGCCCATTCTCAGTGGTTTAGAGCGATAGGTGTGTTTATAGCCGCGGGTATGGGGAGCGATAGGTGTGTTTATAGCCGCGGGTATGGGGAGCGATAGGTGTGTTTATAGCCGCGGATATGCGCCCATTCTCAGTGGTTTAGAAGAATAGGGCGTTTCAGCGCCTCATGAAAGTGCTCGAGTCACGTTACGAACTTTGCCCTCTCGCACCCATTTCAGCAAACAGGTAGTACCTGCACTATATATAAGCAAGCTAAAGCCGAAGTTGTCAATGAATTGGCCAATGCACCCTGTGTTGCACGTTACTACAGATGGATGGACCTCGAGGGCTACAGAGAGATCCTTAACCCCTAGAGTCGATGTCCGCGCCCCCACGGAAATCAAATTAACATAATACAAAAAAGTCCCCATCAAAATCCGTCAGTTTAAACTAGAGATGTTTGTTTTGTTTTTTGCAGTGAAAGGTCGCAGAGCTAGAGCAGTGTTTGTCAGACCAGGAGACGTCCCGAACATCGGTCTTCTCATGAAAACGTCTGCAGCGTCCGAACGGTTTGGCCTACTAACTACTACCCCTCTATGGAAAGACGAGACTCTCACGAACACGGCTTAGAGACTCTTAAGAATGAAATATTATTAGAATAGCCTAATTCACAAATAGCTTCCGATGTCTCAATAGCTCTGAAACCTGAATATTTCAGGGTATAGATAAAGACTTCGTTACCTTGCTTTGAATTCATTAAAATTAGGAAATGATTTTATAAAAATACATAAAAAGGATTTGGTTGTAATTGTAATGTTGCAATATTTAACTAGAGCTTTAAAGTTAAAAAAAAGTTTCATTAGCTAAGGGGTTCCCAAACTTTTTTGGACCACGACCCCATTTTGATATCTGAAAAATCTCACGACCCCAACCATGTGAAAAAATTATGTAATTAACAGCCAATGTTTACTTTTTTATTATTTGGGGCTATGGCAGTCAATTGTAAAACATTGTAACAGTATTTCTGGTTGTCTTCTCAACTCACCATCACATACTTTTAATGTGGGGCTATGACAGTCAATTGCAAATTTGTCTGACAATGTCTCATCTCACTAATGAGATGGGCGTGTTTGATGCATGTCGCGTCGGAGCTTCTCAAAATCAGGGTGCGTGGTCGACAGTGCGCACCTCACCTCTGCTGTCACATCCAACCTGGATCAATATTTGGTTTTAATGCAGACGAGAGCACAGAATCCAGCTTCACATAGAAATGAGCTGGAGAAGGGTAGCCTCCCATTAGTTGTATGGTGCTTTCAAGACAACTGGGAACTCTGAAATATACGAGGTCAAATCAAGACGTCAGTGATCTTTAGATCAGAAAGTTGGAGCTCTAGATAGAGGCCCGAGTTCCCGAGTTGGAATTCCGAGTTGGATGACCGTTGAAAACAATTTCCCTGTCAGAGCTCATTTCTTTCCGAGTTCCCAATTGTTTTGAATGCGGCATTAATGCTCAGAGGGAGACGGCAGGGTATTCCCATTTGAGTCAGGAATCAAAACTGTGAATGCGTTGTCTGCAGCATTCAGTCACGTGACCGCTCAATCAGCTGTTCGATTTCACTTACCGGCATGTCAACTGAGCCAGGATCACAGTCAAAGCCTAATTATTATTTAGGCTACATTATTATTATTATTAGCTATAGCCTGCCATGTAAGAAACTAATTGTGAAGTATTTGTTACACGCAACAGGCTGGCAGGAGTGATCAGCATTTCAACAACAGCTCTTCAACAAGCCTATACATGTAGCTTTTAGGCTGTATAAAATGAAAATGTTTAAAAAATATATTACTTAGAATTAAATAATAATTAAACGAAAAATGCCTTCTACAGTGCCTTCTGAATTCACTTTTAGATATACGAGCTTGGCCAGTCTTTGGTTTGAGGATCATGCGGTGAGCTATGCATTCCTAGTTCGTTACATTCAGCCTATCAGATGCTCTTATATTCCCATGCCCTAATCGCAGTCGACACAAATCTATTTTGTAACAACAATATCATGGAATAAAATAGAAAATGATAGTTAAACAAGTGCATATAGGGCCTCCCTGATGACGTGGCTGCTGTGTAAAACAACAAATGTATTTTTCTAGAATTCATTGACGATCGTATACTTCAGTTGTAACTGGTTCTGTTGTGCTACATTTCTACAGTTGATAAGACAACTTTAGCACCGTTCCAATCTTAAGACTATACGCCATAGTGACGAGGCTGATTACCTTTCTGGTGCAGGCCCTTCTTCTCATAGAGGATGATGAGCTCGCTGTACTTGTGGGCCTTCTTCAGGATGTACTCACTCTCCTCAATGTGACAGTGGTTATTGTCCAGCCGCAACAGAGGGGAAACCAGGGCCACGTTGGTCTGGAGAGAAGAGAGCCACTAGATTAACAGAGTGGACACGTTGGTCTGGAGAGAAGAGAGCCACTAGATTAACAGAGGGGACACGTTGGTCTGGAGAGAAGAGAGCCACTAGATTAACAGAGGGGACACGTTGGTCTGGAGAGAAGAGAGCCACTAGATTAACAGAGGGGACACGTTGGTCTGGAGAGAGGAGAGCCACTAGATTAACAGAGGGGACACGTTGGTCTGGAGAGAGGAGAGCCACTAGATTAACAGAGGGGACACCAGGGCCACGTTGGTCTGGAGAGAAGAGAGCCACTAGATTAACAGAGGGGACACGTTGGTCTGGAGAGAGGAGAGCCACTAGATTAACAGAGGGGACACGTTGGTCTGGAGAGAGGAGAGCCACTAGATTAACAGAGGGGACACGTTGGTCTGGAGAGAGGAGAGCCACTAGATTAACAGAGGGGACACGTTGGTCTGGAGAGAAGAGAGCCACTAGATTAACAGAGGGGACACGTTGGTCTGGAGAGAGGAGAGCCACTAGATTAACAGAGGGGACACGTTGGTCTGGAGAGAGGAGAGCCACTAGATTAACAGAGGGGACACGTTGGTCTGGAGAGAAGAGAGCCACTAGATTAACAGAGGGGACACGTTGGTCTGGAGAGAAGAGAGCCACTAGATTAACAGAGGGGACACGTTGGTCTGGAGAGAAGAGAGCCACTAGATTAACAGAGGGGACACCAGGACCATGTTGGTCTGGAGAGAGGAGAGCCACTAGATTAACAGAGGGGACACGTTGGTCTGGAGAGAAGAGAGCCACTAGATTAACAGAGGGGACACGTTGGTCTGGAGAGAGGAGAGCCACTAGATTAACAGAGGGGACACGTTGGTCTGGAGAGAAGAGAGCCACTAGATTAACAGAGGGGACACGTTGGTCTGGAGAGAAGAGAGCCACTAGATTAACAGAGGGGACACGTTGGTCTGGAGAGAAGAGAGCCACTAGATTAACAGAGGGGACACGTTGGCCTGGAGAGAGGAGAGCCACTAGATTAACAGAGGGGACACCAGGGCCACGTTGGTCTGGAGAGAAGAGAGCCACTAGATTAACAGAGGGGACACCAGGGCCACGTTGGTCTAGATTAACAGAGGGGACACCAGGACCACGTTGGTCTGGAGAGAAGAGAGCCACTAGATTAACAGAGGGGACACCAGGGCCACGTTGGTCTGGAGAGAAGAGAGCCACTAGATTAACAGAGGGGACACGTTGGTCTGGAGAGAAGAGAGCCACTAGATTAACAGAGGGGACACCAGGACCACGTTGGTCTAGATTAACAGAGGGGACACCAGGACCACGTTGGTCTAGATTAACAGAGGGGACACCAGGACCACGTTGGTCTGGAGAGAAGAGAGCCACTAGATTAACAGAGGGGACACCAGGACCACGTTGGTCTGGAGAGAAGAGAGACACTAGATTAACAGAGGGGACACCAGGGACACGTTGGTCTGGAGAGAAGAGAGCCACTAGATTAACAGAGGGGACACCAGGACCACGTTGGTCTGGAGAGAAGAGAGACACTAGATTAACAGAGGGGACACCAGGGCCACGTCGGTCTGGAGAGAAGAGAGCCACTAGATTAAACAGAAGCAATATTAAAATCACCTTATTTCTGAAGAAGGACTGAGGAGTCTGAGTTTGTATCCCATAATTCTATGAGCTGGTTTTACAGACACAGATGAAGAGTAGTCCATACTCAATGGACAACCTTTATTAAGAGAGCTTTTCAGTCCAGGACTAGTCTTAAAATCAGTCTCCAGGAAACTGGCCCTTTTGATTATACACACAAGATAAAAAAGGGACACAAAGAAACAGAGGCCGTACATGCAGGTAGCATTTGAGCAGCGTGGTGTCGATGATCTGCAGAAGCTTTTTTCTACTCTTGATGGTGGGCGTTCCTTCCATGAGGGGAGAGGGGGTGGAGGGCTCCGAGTCGTTCAGCTGCTTCACCAGGTGGCTGCGTTTCTGGAATACACACATCACACCACACCACAGTCATCAGCCTTTTTCTGGATGGAAAAAGGGGCTTAGGTAGTGAGCGTGGCTATTGGCACAGCAACATGTTGGAGACCATTTTTAAAAAAAGGTCCCCATCTTGGCGGTGAAGATACATTTTTTTTTCCGCCAATATCCAAAATATTGCAGTTTTAAAGCTAATTTCCTGAAATTCTATGCTTTTTTTCCATGGATAATTCTTTGTTCTCCTGCTCAAACATAACATCAATACTGCTAAATTCATAATAACTAAATCAATACTGCTAACTTCATAACTTGTTCAATACTTCTAAATTCATTATTTTAGGAATTTTCAAATTCTCCCCGACTGTCTAGCTTTTATTTTGGTGATTGTTGGTTCTCAAAAGACAATAAAAAAAATATATATGTCCATTATCTTTTCTACATACTTTATATCTGTTTTCTTTGTTTGTTTTTTTAATACTGTTTGGACTTAGACGACCCAAGAAAGAACTTTAGGCGGCCCGCCCAAGGATTATAATGGCAGACAAAACCCTGTCCAGCAGAATAGCACCCCCTGCCTCACTACAACAGTAAACGGATATGGATCATTTGGAGCGATGATGCACATTCACCTGAGACAGCACACAGAGAGAGGCAAGCCAGCGGTGGGACGGCAGGGCGGTAACGCTGCTGGTAAACGCTACAACCACCCACCTGAGACAGCACACAGAGAGAGGCAAGCCAGCGGTGGGACGGCAGGGCCCCACCTGAGACAGCACACAGAGAGAGGCAAGCCAGCGGTGGGACGGCAGGGCCCCACCTGAGACAGCACACAGAGAGAGGCAAGCCAGCGGTGGGACGGCAGGGCGGTAACGCTGCTGGTAAACGCTACAACCACCCACCTGAGACAGCACACAGAGAGAGGCAAGCCAGCGGTGGGACGGCAGGGCGGTAACGCTGCTGGTAAACGCTACAACCACCCACCTGAGACAGCACACAGAGAGAGGCAAGCCAGCGGTGGGACGGCAGGGCGGTAACGCTGCTGGTAAACGCTACAACCACCCACCTGAGACAGCACACAGAGCGAGGCAAGCCAACGGTGGGACGGCAGGGGCGGTAACGCTGCTGGTAAACGCTACAAACCACCCACCTGAGACAGCACACAGAGAGAGGCAAGCCAGCGGTGGGACGGCAGGGCGGTAACGCTGCTGGTAAACGCTACAACCACCCACCTGAGACAGCACACAGAGAGAGGCAAGCCAGCGGTGGGAACGGCAGGGCCACACCTGAGACAGCACACAGAGAGAGGCAAGCCAGCGGTGGGACGGCAGGGCGGTAACGCTGCTGGTAAACGCTACAACCACCCACCTGAGACAGCACACAGAGAGAGGCAAGCCAGCGGTGGGACGGCAGGGCGGGTTAAAGCTGCTGGTAAACGCTACAACCACCCACCTGAGACAGCCACACCAGAGAGAGGCAAGCCAGCAGGTTGGGACGGCCAGGGCGCTACAACCACCCACCTGAGACAGCACACAGAGAGAGGCAAGCCAGCGGTGGGACGGCAGGGCGGTAACGCTGCTGGTAAACGCTACAACCACCCACCTGAGACAGCACACAGAGAGAGGCAAGCCAGCGGTGGGACGGCAGGGCGGTAACGCTGCTGGTAAACGCTACAACCACCCACCTGAGACAGCACACAGAGCGAGGCAAGCCAGCGGTGGGACGGCAGGGCGGGTAACGCTGCTGGTAAACGCTACAACCACCCACCTGAGACAGCACACAGAGAGAGGCAAGCCAGCGGTGGGACGGCAGGGCCCCACCTGAGACAGCACACAGAGAGAGGCAAGCCAGCGGTGGGACGGCAGGGCCCCACCTGAGACAGCACACAGAGAGAGGCAAGCCAGCGGTGGGACGGCAGGGCGGTAACGCTGCTGGTAAACGCTACAACAACACACCTGTGTCAGATAGTCTATGAGCGCGAGGTAGGCCTTCTCCAGCTCTGCCCCAGACAGAGTCGGCAGGGGGTTGGGGTAGTGCAGCTGTTTACGGTAGTCGGTGGGGAGCAGGTCCGGATACAGACCTATCACATGGGTGGGATCTGTGGGGAGGAAGGTACAGCGTTACTATGGTTACGTTCCAAATAGTGCACTACTTTTGACCAGGCGCCACGCGTCCCAAATGACACCCTATACAGTGCACTACTGTTGACCAGAGCCCTTGTTGGTTATGATTGGCCGAAAGGCGTTTTATCCTGTGCTAAATCAAGAAGAACATCACAGCTGCTTTATCACTTCCACTTCACACATTGTAGCTAAAAACCTAAAGTAAAAATCTCCCGTCTCAGATAATAATGTTGGTAAAAACCTCACCTGTGCCGAGCTTAGCAAACACCTGCATGGAGTCATCAAACCTCTTCTGACAGAACAGATTGAAGGCGTAGAGATTCTGGATGTGGTGAACCTGCTGTCTCTTATCGCCTTCCACATCATCCTTCATCTTCTGGGGGAGAGAGGGATGGAGGAGGGGAGGGGGAGAGAGGGATGGAGGAGGGGAGGGGGAGAGAGGGATTGGCAGGAGGGGAGGGGGAGAGAGGGAGGAGGAGGGGAGAGATGGAGGAGGGGAGGTGATGGAGGAGGGGAGGGGGAGGAGAGGGAGGGATGGAGGGGGGAGAGATGGGAGGAGGGGAGGGGATGGAGGAGGGGGGGATGGAGGAGGGGAGGGATGGGGAGGGGAGGGATGGAGGAGGGGAGGGGGGGAAGGGGGGGGGAATGGAGGAGGGGGGGGGAAATGGGGGAAAAATTTTTGGGGGGGGGGGGGGGGGGGGGGGGGGGGGGGGGGGGGGGGGGGGGGGGGGGGGGGGGGGGGGGGAAAAAAAGGAGGAGGGGGGGGTTTTGGGAAGGGGTAAAAGGGGAAAAGGGAAATGGAGGGGGGAGGAGGGGGGGGGGAGGGAAGGAAAAGGGAGATGGGAGGAGGAGGGAGGGGAGAGAGGGAGGGAAGGAGAAAAAATAATGGGGGGGGAGGGGGGGAAGAGGGAGGGGGGAGGGATGGAGGGGGGGAGGGGGAGGAGGGAGGGGGAGGGGAAAGGGGGAGAGGGGGAAAGGAAGGGGGGGGGGGAGGAGGGGGAGAGGGGGAGGGGGGGGGGGGAGAAAAGGGGGGGGGGAGGGGGGAGGAGGAGGGGGGGGGAGGAGGAGGGGGGGGGGGAGGAGAGGGGGAGGGGGGAAAGGGGGGGGGGAGAGAGGGAGGGGGGGAGGGGGAGGGGGGGGGAGGAGGAGGGGGGGGGAAAAGAGAGGGAGGAGGAGGGGGGGGGGAAAGAGAAAAAAGGAGGAAGGGGAGGGGGGGGAGGGGGAGGGGGGGAGGGGGGGGGGGGGGGGGGGGGAGGGGGAGGGGGGGGGGAAAGGGGGAAGGGAGGGGGGGAGGGGGGGGGGGGAGAGGGATGGAGGGGGGAGGGGGAGAGGGGGATGGAGGAGGGGGAGGGATGGGGGGGGGGAGGGGAGGGATGGAAGGGGGGGGAGGGATGGAGGAGGGGGGGGATGGGGGGGGAGGGGGGGGGGAGAGAGGGATGGAGGAGGGGGGGGGAGGAGGGGAGGAGGGGGGGAGGGATGGAGGAGGGGAGGGGGGGGAGGAGGGGGGGGAAAGGAGGAGGGGGGGGGGGAAAGAGGGATGGAGGAGGGGGGGGGGGAGAAAAACAAGATGAGAGAGGCGGGAGGGGGAGAGAGAGGGGAGGGGACAAGGGGGAAGTGAGTCATCCCATAAAGGGGCCAGTATTATATACATCTGTCCCCATTACCCAGCCCCATAACCCTTACCCAGCCCCCTGGATCCTAACTGTCCCCTTTTCCCCACCCCCCCGGACCCAAAATGTCCCCATTCCCCCACCCCCCAAACCCATTCCCCACCCCCCGGTCCAAAACGGCCCCATTACCCAGCCCCTAACCATTACCCAGCCCTCTGGATCCTAACTGTCCCCATTACCCAGCCCCTAACCCTTACCCAGCCCTCTGGATCCACCCCCCCATTCCCCAAAGCCCAAAAACCCTTACCCACCCCTTTGGGGACCTAATGCCCCCCTTTAAACCCAGCCCTCTGGTCCTATCTTTTTTTCCCCATTACCCAGCCCCAAAACCCTTTACCCGGGCCCTTGGATCCATTTTCCCATTATCCAGCCCCAAAACCCTTTTACCCACCCCCCTTTGGTCCTATCGGTCCCATTACCCGGGCCCTTGGACCCAAAAATTCCCCCTTTCCCCAGCCCTTGGACCCAAAAACTGCCCCCTTTTAACCACCCCAAAAAACCCCTTTCCCCACCCCCTGGTTTCCTAACTTTTCCCCATTATCCACCCCAAACCCCTTTACCCAGCCCTCTGGACCCACTGCCCCCCTTTTTACCCAGCCCTCTGGATCCATCGCCCCCCATTCCCCGGGCCCCAAAAACCCTTACCCAGCCCTCTGGATCCAAAACCCCCCAAATTTCCCCAAAGGCCCTTGGATCCAAACTTTTCCCCATTACCCACCCCTCTGGACCCTTTATTGTCCCATTCCCCACCCCAAAAAACCCTTACCCACCCCCTCTGGCCCCCAAATCGTCCCCTTTTCCCCAGCCCTTGGCCCCATTGTCCCCTTCCCACCCCTCTGGATCCCTTTCCCCCCACCATTACCCAGCCCTCGGGGTCCTTCGCCCCCTTTCCCCCAGCCCCCCTGGGACCCTATCTGTCCCCTTTCCCCAACCCCTTCGGAAATTCCCTATCTGTCCCCATTACCCAGCCCACTAACCCTTACCCAGCCCTCTGGATCCTATCTGTCCCCATTACCCAGCCCCAAACCCCTTTTCCCAAAGCCCTTGGATCCATTGTCCCTTTCCCCCACCCCTCGGGATCCAACTGCCCCCATACCCAGCCCTCGGGATCCAAAATCTGCCCCCTTTACCCCCCCCGGGGTTTCCTATCGTCCCCATTCCCCAAAGCCCCAAACCCCTTACCCAGCCCTTGGTTTCCTATCTGCCCCCATTACCCAGCCCCTAACCCATTACCCAGCCCTCTGGATCCTATCTGTCCCCATTACCCAGCCCCAAACCCTTACCCAGCCCTCTGGATCCTATCTGTCCCCATTCCCCAAACCCCCAAACCCTTTCCCCCGGGCCCCCTGGTCCTAACTGTCCCCAAAAACCCAGCCCTTGGCCCTATCGGGCCCCACCCCCAAGCCCCAACCCCTTTCCCCAGCCCTCTGGACCCTTATCTGCCCCATTCCCCACCCCCTAACCTTTACCCACCCCTTCGGGATCCTTTTGTCCCCATTACCCAGCCCCTAACCCTTACCCAGCCCTCTGGATCCTATCTGTCCCCATTACCCAGCCCTCTGGATCCTATCTGTCCTATAGAAAATAATCTAGAACCTAAAAGGGTTCTTTGCCCGGGTCCCCATATGAAAAAACCGTTTGAAAACCCTTTGGTTTCCAGGTAAAAACCCTTTTGGTGTCCGGGGGTAAAAACCCTTTTGGTGCCCCAAGAAAAACCCTTTTGGTTTGCCCAAGGTAAAAAACCATTTTGGTGTCCAGGTAGAACAAGCTGTCAGGGGGTAGTTTTTTAAAATTCACCGCCAGTTGCAGGGCCAGTTCAAACTGCTTGTCCTGTAGGAGGTCTGATTGGCGGGCGATGGAAACGGGGAAACCAGGCGCCACAAAAATGGTTGCGGGAAAACGTAAATATATTGGGCCTGGGACAGCCCAAAAGGGAAGAGAAGAAAAAGAAAAGAGAGATTTCCCATTTAAAAATATGATGTGTGATGGTTGATAGACAAACGTTCTCTATCAAAATAACATTTTGGAATACGTCAGAGAGTCTATTTTATTGAAAAACTATATTTAAATTCTGGTTCTAATAGAGACCGCAAAACTATTACAGGGGGAATCTGTCTGAAAAAACGGGGGTTTCCCTTTAATTTGGTTCATGGAAAAAACTTTGGCTTTATTTTGTGCCCCTTTATTTTTCAAAACAAAAACCGTAGAGGATTTTGTTGACCTGGTCAGGTAATCAAGTGGTGGGAATAAAGGGCGGTAAGGAATCAACTGGCAGGTAATCAAGTGGTCAGGGTAATCAAGCTGGTCGGGTTTAATCATGCGGGTTTCGGGGAATTTTGTGGTCAGGTAATCAAGCTGGTCAGGTAATCAAGCTGGTCAGGTAATCAAGCTGGTCAGGTAATCATGCTGGTCAGGTAATCAAGCTGGTCAGGTAATCAAGTGGTGGGGAAATTTCTTTGTGGGGTTAAGGAAAATCAAGCTGGTCAGAAATTTCACCCTGGTAAAGGTAAAAAATGGGGGAAAAAAATTTTGTGGTCAGGTAATCAAGCTGGTCAGGTAATCATGCTGGTCAGGAAATTTAAAAGTGGTCGGGGAAATCATGCGGATCAGGAAAATCATGCGGGTCAGGTAATCAAGCTAGTCAGGAAATCATGCGGGTTTCAGGAAATTTCATCTGGTCAGGTAAAAGCTGGTCAGGAAAATCAAGCGGGTCGGGAAATTTCAGTGGTCAGGTAATAATGCGGTCAGGTAAAAAAGGGGTCGGGAAAATCAAGCTAGTCAGGAAAATCAGCTGGTCAGGTAATAGGCTGGTCGGGGAATCAAGGGGGCAGGAATCAAGCTAGTCGGGTTTAATCAGGGCTGGTCAGGAATCATGCGGGTTTAAAAGGGGTATAATGCGGGTCGGGAAAATCAACCTGGTCGGGGAATGGGGGCTGGTCAGGAAATAAGGAGGGTGGGTTTAATCAAAGGGTAAGGTAATCTTTGTGGTCGGGGTTAACCCTGTGGTCGGAAATAAAGGGGGTCAGGTAACGGTGGTCAGGAAACAGGTGGTCGGGGTTAATATGCGGGTTCAGGTAATCATGCTGCGTAGGTAATCATGCTGGTCGGGAAATCAAGGGTGGGTTTTTTTAAGGGCGGGTCAGGTAAAATGCGGGTAAGGTAATAAAGGGCGGTCGGGGTAATCAAGCGGGTCAGGAAATCATGTGGTAGGTAATAGGGTCAGGAATCATGCTGGTCAGGAAATCTGCGGGTCAGGAAATCATGCGGGGTCAGGTAAAAAAGCGGTCAGGTAACATGTGGTCAGGTAATCATGTTTGGTCGGGTAATCATGCTGGCAGGTAATCAAGCGGGTTTCAGGTAATAAAGCTGGGGTGGGAAATTTAAAGCTGGCAGGTAATCATGCTGGTGGGGTAATCTGCTGGCAGGTTTTTTTCCAATTTGGGGGGGGGGTGGGTAATCAAGCGGGTGGGGAATAAAGTGGCCCAGGTAATAAAACTGGCAGTTAATCAAGCTGGTATCCTCAGAGTCTCAGAGTCGGAGCGGTGATCTAGGATCAGTTTTACCCTTTAGATCACAACAAATAAGATAATATGGATAGATCCTAGATGATCTGATCTGTATAGTGTGATAGATCCTAGATGATCTGATCTGTATAGTGTGATAGATCCTAGATGATCTGATCTGTATAGTGTGATAGATCCTAGATGATCACTCCTTCTCTGAGACGCTCTGATCTGTATAGTGTTATAGCTCCCTGATCTGTATAGTGTGATAGATCCTACTATGAGATGATCTGATCTGATTGTTATAGTGTGAAAGTTTAGATTTTCACCCAGATGATGGGGTTTGAATCGTGGTCTCTGCAGCTCCAAAAACTCTGAACCAGCAGCGGGGTTTTTAAAAGGTCCTGATCTACATGCGGGGGCAGAAAGCTATGATGTAGGGGACATGTTCTGAGAGGGGGGGAGAAACAAGCTATGATGTGGGGGGGGACGAGGGTTCGGAGAGGGGGGAGAGAAACAGTATGATGTAGGGGGAAGGGTTTGAGAGGGGGGGAGAGAAACAGTTTGTTTGAAAGGGGGCTGTTTTTCTGAGAGGGGGGGAGAGAAAAAGCTATGATGGGGGGGGACGGGTTGCTTGAGAGGGGGGAGAGAAACCCCAAAAAAAAAAAAGGGGTTTTATTTTGGGTCCAAAAAATTTGGGATGGGGGTTTCCGGGGGGGTTAAGGGGGGGTTTTAAAAATTTCCCCAAAAAAAAAAAATTTAAAATTCAAACTCCTTTCGAATTAAAACGCCCCCCCCCCCCCCCCCCCCCCCCCCCCCCCCCCCCCCCCCCCCCCCCCCTTTTTTTTTTTTTTTTTTTTTTTTTTTTTTTTTTTTTTTTTTTTTTTAACCCCCTTAGAAAAAAAAACCCAAAAATCAAAATTTAAAAAAGGAGATTAAAAAAAAATTTTTTAAAAAAAATCAAAAAAAAACAAAAAAAAAAAAATTTTTTAAAAAAACCCACCGTTAAATTGACTTAATTTTCCCAAAAAGACAAAAAATTTTAAAAAAAAAACCCCCACCCGGGAAAGTTAAAAAAAAAAAAAAAAAACAAAAAGAAAAAAGGGGGAAAAAAAAAAAAAACCGGGGGAAAACAGTTTTGGGGGGACAAAAGGGGAAAAGGGGGTTTTTTGGGGGGGGGGGGGGGGGGGAAAAAAGGAGTAGGGGGGGTTTAGGGGGGAGCAGCTTTTGGGGGGGTTTGAGGGGGGGGGGGGGGAAAAAAAGGGGGGGGGGGCGGGGGGAAAGAAAAAAGGGGGGGAAAACAAAAACTATTTCAAAAGGGGGAAAAAAAAATTTGGGGGAAAAGGGGTTTGGGGGGGTCGTTTTGGGGGAAAACTGTCGGAAAAAAGGGTTTTTTTAAAAAAATCAGCCCCTTTAAAACCCCCATTTGAAAAAAAAAAAAAAAAAAAAACAAAAATTTATTTTTTTTTTTTAAAAAAAGTTTTTTTTTTTAAAAGGGGAAAAAAAAAAAAAAGGGGGGGGGGGAAAGGGGGGGGGGGAAAAAAAAAAAAAAAAATAAAATCCCAGACCAAAAAACCCTTTTTAAAAAAAAAAAAAACCTTTTTCCCAGGGCCCGGGGTAGACTGCATTTTGGCCCCCCCCCCTTTAATTTTTAAATAAAATTTGGGAAAAAAGGGAAAAAAGGCCGGGCCCCGCCCCCCTACAAAAAACGGTAAAACATTTTTTTCCCGGGCCCTTCCCCAAAAAAAAGGAAAACCAAGCAGACCAATCTTCGCCAAAGAGAGGGGCCCCCAAAAAATTTAAAAAAAAAATAGGGGAAAAAAAGGCAGTTGGGACCCTCCTTAGGGGGCCCTGGGCCCAAAAAATTAAAAAATGGCCAAAAAATGGGCCCGGTGGGTTTTTCCCAAAAAATTCGTTAGAGAAAAAAAAATTTTAGCAAAAGGCCCCAATTTAATAAAATTGGGACTGGTAAAAATCGGGGGGGGGGAAAAAATTTTTGTTTTATTTTTTGGGGGTCGGGGCCGAAAAACCGGGGGAAAAATGGGGAAAAAAAAGGCCCGGGGACTGAAAAAAATTCCCTTTAAAAAGAAAAAACCCAAAAATAAGAAGAAATTCCGCCCCCAAAATTCAAAAAAAAAAAGGGGTTTTAAAAAAATTTAAAGGGAAGGCCCAAATTCCAAAAAAAGAAACCCCCCAAGAAAAAAAAAGGTCCCCTGTAAACGGCCCCCAAAAACCCCCCAAACAGAGCCCCAAAACCCCAATTGACCCAACAAAATCATGAGAAAACAAAAAGAGAATACTGACACATTGGAAAGAATTACAAAAAACGGAGCAAACTAGAATGCTATTTGGCCCTAAAAAGAGAGTACACAGTGGCAGAATACCTGACCATCGTGACTGACCCAAACTTAAGGAAATCTTTGACTATGTACAGACTCAGTGAGCATAGCCTTGCTATTGAGAAAGGCCGCCGTAGGCAGACCTGGCTCTCAAGAGAAGATTAGGCAAGCAGAAGTGCAAAACGATTGAAACCAATAACAGGAGACTGGTTCCCAAAACACACAGGGAAAGGGGAGTGAAAAAAAGGCTTGCAGAATATTGTGAGGACGGCGATAACTAAAAAATGCAGCCTACCCGAGCAAGGAGTGTGTGTGTGTGTGTGTGTGCGCGTGTGTGTGTGACCTGATGGTCAGGAGGAAAATCACATCAGCTAAACCCAGGTGAGTTTATAAGATGTGTACGGTGGAAAAATACAGCCGCCTAAAGCAGGGTGGGATTTTTCCTCTGACGTGTGTGTATATAAAAAGATTGTACGACCATTTTGTTGCAGAGCGCTCTCATGAATAAACATTCTGACCATTGCAGAATTGGGTCTTTGTTTAATTTATTCAAACTAAGAGATTTACAACCTTTTGGGAATTATTCAAAGATTTAAGAAGTTAGTT